TTTCTTGATGTGACCTTCAACCTCACAAACGGTGCTACAAGCCATTCATGAAGCCTAATAATAAACTGTCCTATGTCCACCAACAGAGCAACCACCCCCTGCACTACTAAAGAATATCCCACTCAACATTAACAAAAGGTTAACTAGCATCTCATCCAGCAAAGAAGTATTTGACGAATCTATTGCCCCTTACCAGAAAGCTCTAACAGAAAGCGGATACGACCACAAGTTAACATACAACCCCCACAAGAAAAGCTCCGAAAAACAAAAGAAAACGAACAAGAAACATCACATGGTACAACCCTCCTTTCAACTCAAACGTCAGAACTAACCTTGGAAGAAAATTTCTGCACATCGTCGACAAATGCTTTCCAAAACCACCCACTCCACAAGATTTTCAACAGACACACGCTAAAACTAAGCTACTCATGCATGCCTAACATGAAATCTGTCATCTCGTCACACAACAAGTACGTTCTTTCAAATTTCAACTCACCAACGCAACAACCTGACACCTGCAATTGCAGAAAGAAACCAGATTGTCCACTCGAAGGAAAATGCCTCCAATCAAATGTCATCTACCAAGCCACTGTAACTACAGCGACGACAACTGAAACTTACGTCGGACTGGCAACAAACTTTGAGGAACGTTACAGAAACCATCAGTCCTCCTTTCGACGCTCAAACAGAAGAAATGAAACGGAACTATCAAAATATATTTGGACTTTACAAGACTCTAACAAACCTTTCCAGATAAAATGGAAAGTTTTAAAGAAATGTAAAGCTTATAGCAACATTAGCAAAAAATGTAATCTTTGTCTTTATGAAAAGTTTATGATCATTTGTAAAAAAGAGCTTTGTAGCCCAAACAGGCGAAACGAACTAGCAAGTTTATGCCCCCACAGAAACAGATATGTACTTCAGAACTCTAGAGTAACGTAACTAAGACACAATCCATCTGTTACCTAGATACTATCTCTTAACGCATCCCTATATTTACTGCCAGCTTTTAATTTTAACGGTCAATCGTTGAAGTTGCCTGATGAGTGTGGTCCTACAATTTCGGACCATACGAAACAGCACTGTCGCAATAAACGATCAATGATTACTCCTGAAGCCTGAACTCCTGTGATTATTAATATATATATATATATATATATATACAGCAATGGGCACTAGGGCTGCACCTAATTTTGCGAACGTGTATATGGGCCGGTTTGAAGATAAATTTGTATACGGAACGGAATGGTCCCACTACATTATTGACTGGGTAAGGTTCATCGACGACATTTTTCTCATCTGGAAAGGAGACGAAAGTTCTCTCACTACCTTTATAAAGTACCTCAACGGTGTTGTACCATCCATTACATTTACCCGTGAAGTATCTTACAACTCCGTGAATTTCTTGGATACAAAAGTAATAAAAGATGTACAGGGTAACATCAGCACAGACATTTTTCAGAAACCAACGGATACCCACCCATACCTACATTGGACTTCGGCGCACCCACCGCATTTAAAGCAAAGTATGCCATACAGCCAAGCCTTAGGACTTAGGAGAATATGCTCATCAACGCGCGTACTAGAGCAAAGAATATTGGAATATTCCAATTTTTTCGTAGCGTGTGGGTATAAAAGAGATAGGGCTCTATCTGAAATGCGCAAAGTTCTATCACTGACACAAGACGAGAGTTTGCGGGCAAGAGAGAGGCACACCACCAACCGCATACCCTTAGTAACCACATACAATCCACGCACCTCATATATTGCTGAAGAGGCGAACAGGAACTGGCACTTCCTCCAATCAAAGGAAAGACTGGCTCACATATTTAGAGAACGACCAATCATCGCATATAGGCGGTCAAAAAGTCTACGCGACATACTCGTCAGTACCAAATTAACAGGCAGTACCCCTGAAGGACGTACCACCACAATGGGTAGCTGTGGTCCTTGCAATAAACCGAAATGTAGTTGGTGCGTGCTGATAAACAAGACCTCTACTTTTACGGGCACGCGGCGGGATGGCAGGGTTTTCGACATATTCCATACAGTGAATTGTCAATCAACCTTTGTGATTTATATAATTGAGTGTCGAATTTGTAGATTACAATATGTAGGGAAGAGCGAGACAGCTTTCAACCTGCGCCTTAATAATCATAGGAACCATATTAAGAAAGGAGTCAACAGCTGTGAACTATCAGAGCACTTTCTTCAACAGCAGGTCTCATGACTTTGGCAAAGACGTCACAATTACGATTATTGAACAAATCAAACGGAGTAACATGACAATTGAGCGGAAAAAAGAAATACTTCGAGCTACAGAAATATTTTGGCAAAGTCGGCTGAACACATTGCAACCGAACGGTCTCAATAAGAGAATGGGCTAGAACTCAGAGTCGAATATACCTTTATAAAGTATTCAGTACATAAATAACGTTTTAGAACGTAAATTATAGGGGTCATTCCACTCTACGCCCACACGAATGTAATTAACCTATAAGAACAGGATTACTGGTTGCAACTAATCAACTAAGGAACACTTCTTTATTACGTCACAATAAGAGATCATTAATTGATTAATGAACCCAATGTAAAGACCCCTGATGAAGGCAGACGCCGAAACGCGTTGGGTCTGAATAAAGTTTTTATTTGTTGGAAGACGATTCTCTTCTGTGCAAGTTATATATATATATATAACCTATCACAAGCATCTTTTAGAAGACACTCCCTTCACAACTCAATAAATACAGTACCACAAGTGAAGAGTAAAACAATATGTTTTTCGTCTCTCACCTATATTTCGGCCGTGTTAAACGGCCTTCATCAGGGTGAATGGCCGTTACAAGCATCACACGCCATTATTACATGATAACGAACAAATCTGAAAACTTGCACGCGCTACAAAGAAAGATAAGACCTAGTCGCCTATTCTGGCTGTAAAAAAAGTCACTTATATTCAAGCCCTGAGGCTGAATACAGTTCAACCTATAGGCCCAATGGCCTTCTTCATCCCTCTTCACTTGTGGTACTGTATTTATTGAGCTGTGAAGGGAGTGTCTTCTAAAAGATGCTTGTGATAGGTTATATATATATCTGTCTGATTTTGGAAAAAGGTACCCTACAACAGAAGAGGGTCTGTAACAAATGTATGTCTTTTCTGTGGTTCCAATATTGACTTAACTTTTAAATTACCAAAAAGGCCTTAGAGTGGCCAAGCTTCTTTCAAGTATGGTAGAAATTGGCTAATGAGCCACACCCCTTCTCCCCCTATTCCCCTCACCCCTGCATCCGAGGCCCTTGTCCTAACAGCTTATATGGGCCGGAGCAGAAAAACAATAAACTAACAGCATGCAATGACTTCAATGCTTGCGTGCAGGACCACTACTGTATAACGGAACGTTAGATAGCTACTCTAGCCAATAGTTGGGACTCTAAGAAAGGTGCCCTTTTCTAAAATCAGACAGAAAATTAATATGTGGTAATTTCCCAAATGACTAGGTAACTGCCCCAATGAACACCCAACCACTTTCTCCACTGGCCAGCTATCTGCTGCAGTAAGTATTCAAGCGGTACACAAATAATTACTTATCCAGTTACAGTGAATAATATGTGGTAGTTTCCTAATGACAAGGTAACTGCTTCAATATGAATGTACTCAACAGCTTTCTCTAATAGCCAGCTATCTGCTGCAGTGAATATTGAACCAGTACACAAATCATTGCTTATCTGTTAGGGTGAATTAATACGTGGTAATTTCCCAAATGACCAGCTAACTGCACTAATGAATACACATCCACCTTCTCTAATGGCCACCTATCTGCTGCAGTGAATATTAAAGCAGTATACACATCATTGCTTATCTGTTAGGGTTATCTGTCTGATTTTGGAAAAAGGTACCCTACAACAGAAGAGGCTCTGTAAAAAATGGATGCCTTTTCTGTTGTCTCCAAATTGACGTAACTTCTGAATTACCAAAAAGGCCTTAGAGTGGCTAAGGTTCGTTCAAGTGTGGTAGAGGTTGGCCAGCGAATCACGCCCCTTTCCCCTCAACCCCCAACCCCCCCACCTGCTTCTGAGGCCCTTGTCCCAACAACTAATATGGGAGGAGTATAACGAACAAAAAGTATGCACTGATTTCAATGCTTGCGTGTGTCACCACTACTGTATGGCGGTAAGTTAGATAGCTACACTAGCCAACGGCTGGAATTCTTAGATAGGTACCCTTTTAGGTGAAATCAGACAGAAATAACACAAGTGTTAGCTATCTCTTGTAGTGGATAATCTGCCATGGTGATCTTTCTAATTTGGCCAGAAAAGGTTTCTTAAAGCACACAGGGTTTGTAAGCAATCTAGTATGCTATTTTCGTGGTCCTTGTATTGTCCGTTGGGTCTGTTTTTTTCGAAAGGGTCAAAGTTCTTTAGGCTCCTTTAGTGCAGTGACCACTGCTTTACTCCCTCTCTGGTGAAAAAAGATAATAATAATAAATAATAATAAGCAACAGCAATTCAGGGAAAGAAGTATTGCAACATAAAATACTAGCATTACTAAAGTTTGTTAACTGGTTCAAGTTAATAGTAGCTTTGAGAGAGAAATATTCGGAGCACCTCTTGCGGTTTCCAAGCAAGATGTCCTATTTACCGTTCTCGTTTTAACCCCAATTACCTGCCGGTAACTCTTGCGGCAAGAACCAAGAGCTTTTGCTCGAGTGTCTCCCAGAGTTACCGGCATTTAAAGACTGACAGAAACGTCAAGACTTCTACTTGTGAAAGTAAAAAAAAACACAAGAAAACAAAAAACTAATGCCGTTTCACTCACCGTGATCTCTTGCAGCGAAGTTGCGCATGGCCGCGGAGGACTGTGTAATTGCCCCAAACGGGGCAAAAACCCAGGCTTCGCGCGGGCGACAGCTCCGTGGGCCATTTGTACGATGACGTATCCCTTTATTTTTACTACTAAGACCAGAGTTCATTTCGTTTTTTCTTTTCTATTTAAATTTGGTAGTCCCAGTAAGGTTTTAATAACAAAAGCCTTAACTTGCACAAGAAAGCAATGCCCTGATAATGGTAAAATGACACCACGTGCAAATGGCCTACTCCATTACGTAAGAATACACTTTCTCACAAACAAGAAAACCCTCCCAGCGCGAACTTCACTCTCTGTAATATAAAACGCACGGTTTTTCGCCAACCCCACTGTTAACCTCTGTCCGCAAAGATTAGCATCTATCAAAAGGCCCTAACTATCTGGGTGACCTGTGCTGCACCCATAATTCAGTTGTGTCTAAAATCAAATATGGCGATCTCCAGGATCTCAGAGGGATCGAGCAAGGAATATTCCAAGATTCAGGGTTTCTTTGTACATCGTTATAATCGGTAAGCAAACGGTTACAGTGTTACATTCATTGGACACTGCAGTACAAATTGTATTGCGAAATCCGTTCTCGTCTCTCACGGCAGCTGTGTAGTAACTCTTACAAGCTTGTGTTGTTTATTTCAGGCCTACACATATTTAATCGCTAGGATATTTACAGTCAAACGAAATCGAGCCTTATAACACTAATGAAACTCAAGACAATATGAACAAAATAGTATCGAACCTGCGTGCTAAAACCGGACCACAACACCTGTTTGAATATAATTTGCAGAATGTAGTAAAAACAAACAACAACAACAAAAAAAACATATGTATTTTAAAATGATGTTCCTTCGAATTCATTATCAGTTTTATGCTTTCTGGAGATGATTTCTTGTCAAAGTCAGGTATTATTCGATTGATTTGATTAATAAATGCCTGTCTCTGTACTGAGTATTTGATACATTGAAAGAGGAAATGAATCTCATCTTCTACCTGATTTGAGTTACATAAGGGACATAATCTATTTTCTCTTGGCAAATGATCGATTTGGTATCGACCATGTTCAATCATAAGTTTGTGATTACTTATTTTAAATTTAACAAAATTCTGTCGTTCGTCATAACGTCTTAGCTGGTAGAGATAATCAGATGTAGAATATTCGTCTTTAAAAGTTTTATACAATTCTAGTTTTTTTGAATTTTCAAGGCTGTGCCGCCAAAAAGATAGATATTTCTCTCTCATTTCTGTGGTATATCGTCTAATTTTATCATTATCTAGAGATTCAGCATCTAAACTGGTTAGATTGTATTGTTCAAACATGTTTATGAAATTGGAAAAATAGCCTGAATGTAGATTCTTTGACATAAGGAAAGACTGTTTGACTATAGAGTCATTATGTTTGTTGTTGAGGTAAACAAAATATTTCATAATTTTCAGATTTATCGGGATAAACAGCGGCAATCTATCAAGTTCAGCTCTGCAAGCTATGTTAGAGGCCTTATTGTTAACCTTTAAGTAACATTTACAGAATTTGAGGTGGACTTTTTCTATTGGGGAGCTATCCCATTTTTTAAAATCTTGCTTGGTGTACACTCCCCATACCTCACTGTTGTAACTTAAGATTGGGAATACCATGGTGTCAAAAATATGGGATGCAGTATTAGGATTAAGTTTGTTAAGAATTGTCCGCTTCCGAATACTAGAAAACGCGTGAAGGGCCTTTTCTTTAAAGTGTTCGAGTGCAAGTGTAAAGTTCCCATTGGAGTTAAACGTGTACCTAAATAAGTGTATTCTTGGACAATTTCCATTGACTCACTGCCTATGTTGAACTCCCTTAGCAACATAACAATTCAGCCATTCAGAATTCAGCTGAATGCATCAGAATAATTGTTCATCTTGTGCTGCTCACACTTGTTCAAAGCAAAACAGATTAAAAACGCTGTTTTAAACTCACGTTTGGGGGGAGTAATTAATGAAATGTGAAATGGAATAATGAATGTCGGCATATATCAGAAACAAAGTGTGAGTCATCGAGACACTGTTGCATTACAAAGCAAAGATAATCACAGGAGTACACTGAAACAAAAAACCATTGACCCTCCATACTTGTTTGTGTAGCCCAAAGATTGTTAATTGCTGCAGTTTATGTTGGTCTTTTCTGTCTAGTCCACACATTGAAATAAAGGATTCCGTATTATAAGCAAGCGATTAATCCTTCAATCACCACAGCATGGTACTAATGTTGTTGGAGATGTAAACTTTATTATTCTCCTAGTTGATCAGAGAATTAAACTGTTGGACATACATAACAAGGTTTTAAGATTCATCACAGGCCTTTTCCTCCGATTGTCAAGCAGACAGCTTTTTTGAACATATAGACAACCTCAAGATTGCGTCTTTCAGGTTTAGGGTTCAGTGTTGATTTTCCTTCTTGAATCCAGGGGGACCATTACTTATGCCACATTCTGACAGACCACATAAACAATCACCGGCAGCATCTTCTGGGGAAAGGAAGTGGAAACATTATTTTTACTTGTGGTACGTAAATGCTTACAGTAGTCTATTATTTTGTGCACTTGATATGGGGTGTGCTGAAGTATAAGCTGTTCACATAATTATATGCCAGAATTGAAACCCGTCCCTAATCTTAAAAGAAGAGCCAAAGGACCTTTTAGCATTGCAGCTGGGTCTCAAAGGTGAAAACCACCTCAAGATCTCACTGACCCTTAAGAGAATTATGGGGACTGGTCAAAAAGCCCATGACAGACACCGCCTCGGTTACAATAAACAGGGTCAATAAAGGAATGAAAGGTATCAAATCACAGAATGTAGTCCCTGCACGATTTTTGCTCTGTAAAAGGTTGGTAATGGCGAGAAAAGGTAGAAAATTCTTCGGCTGGTGTTTTTGTAAGTTCTTAATCTCACCGAGACTGGTCGGTTGTACCAGATCAGTATTGATTTTATGCCCTGGATTTTTTTCCACACAAATGGGGAGAAAATCGCAATGTCTAGTTTTTTCCGGCTGCCTAATCTGCACACACCGCTAATTACCAGCCCAGATGATACATTCTAATGGCTAAGACAGAGACTTAAGATTAAACCATTTCATGCCAGAAATTAATCTTTTCTCAGTGTAATGATTCCATTCATCTTCAGTCAAAAGCCTAGAGGACTAGACATCCTACTAGTACATTCACTGTATTAGTGTTATTTTTTGTAATTGAAACCATTCCTTCAAGAAGGAAGTTGGATCCAAGTTTTGCTTGCACAAATAAAGGCGAGTTGTTCACAGTCAGAAATAGGTTGCTCCAGCTTTTAAAGTGCAGTATAAAAGAAGTTTTATTGTATTCATTTTATCCACACAGCAACTGTGTACACTGCTAGAGACTTTGCAGAAGAAACCAGTGCCACCCTCCAGTTAGCGATGACAAGCTTAAGACAGGTTGGAAATGGGCCAGTGTTTTGCTGTACTAGTTGAGGAGTCAAACACAGTAGATAGCCCTTAAATATACGTGGCTAGCCAAATTCACTCCTTAATCCTCTTGGATGGAGATGTACATGTATCACTTCCTGCAGCACAAGAATGTTGGGGGTGGCTTCTTCTGACTGGAGTTGGGTTAGACAGTCAATGGGTAGAAAAGCAACACTGCCTCGTCCCGGTCACCATGGTCACCTTCAAAAAACAAAGGCGGATGCCATCATTTCAACACAAGCAAGAGATCCATTCACCAGGCATTCATGAAGTAATGGTAAGGTAAGCAAGTGCAGTAGAGAAACTTTGTTTACACTTAACATTCACCTTGTGCACAATTTATGAAACTCAGCTCGTTCTGAGCAGGAAGCAGGAACATTGCACATCTGTTATAAATGCCAAAGACTTTTCTAAATTGACTGTCTTGATAGTTTTTGCCAGTAACACATAGATATACCATAAACGTGCGGTTGCAGAATTGTGCTTCAATTTTCAGAGTTCCAGTCTCTCTCTTTATCAGCTAGCCTGTATGCAGTACCCCCCCCTTCCCCTCCCTTCTCCGATTTTTCCTGCAGGGAGGGAGGGGGTCTGTATACAGGCTATTTATTAGCATAAAATTGGCTGTGTAGGTGGTTTGGGGGCGTGGCAGGGGGTGTTGTAGCTCAAAACGAAATTTCTTTTAATTTTTTTCACATTTTGTCTTTCAGCCTGCCCTGGTTCCAGATCAGATGGGATCAAGTTGCCACTAAACTATTTACGGTCAAATTCAGTCAAGACTGCCATTTGAACAATAAAATAAACAAATGGGAAGTTTTGTGCCATTTTCATCCATAAGAATTACTTTGTACAGCATAACTTTCAGCCAGGATTGAATTAATAAATTGAACCACAGGGTTAGTTAAGTTTGACAATGCTACATGTAAGTACCGTAATTGTCAACGTAATAGAGTTTGCTGGAACGATGAGGAAAGAGGGAAATTCTTATCAGGAATAACACAAAAAGTTGTGCTATTTTCTCCTCTTGTGGGGATTAACTGATCCACTGGGATCGATAGCAGTATTAAGTTTGACACTAACTTGCCTTTTCAATAAAGTGACCATATTGGAAAATAATAATAATCAAAGAAGGGTTTACTATTGCAGCCTCCTTTTCCTTAACACCTCTCCTTACAAAATATACAGTATACAGTACATGGATCTCCAATAAATTTATGTATTATAACAAGTGCTGTATAAGAAGGAGAGAAGCCCGGTTTAAATAAGTGCTTTTCTCTCACCCCCTCCCGCCCTTCATTCTCCAGAAATTCACAAAAAATAAATAAGTGCTCCACTAGCCTGTTCCAGGCGTTCAGACAGTAGAGCGTGTTAACTGACTCCCCACCATTTGAACGCTGTACTCTACTATCTGAACACCTGGAACAGGTTAGTGCTCCGGGCTCTGGGTTTATCCATAGCCATGATCGGGCCGCAAGTGCATTCATTGGAAGATATGGCAGAATTATAATATCATATTAAAAGATGCCAGGAAAATGGTACGATCTATTTAAGCCAACAGACAGTTGTAGAACATGAAGATGTTACATTTCTAAGGAAGATGCAAATACACACCGACCAAGGATTCGCTACTTGAAGACCAGACATTGTCATCTAAGATCACGAAAACATGACGTGCAAACTACGTTGCAAAGCGTTTAGACAAGACCACCTCTGTTAAGGTCACTGAAAAACTCTCAGAATACGAAGACCTAGAAACTGAAGTCAATACCTTAGGACTAAGGGTTAGTCTCAGTCTTTGTGAAGCTTTTCTTAAGGAAAGCACAATGCAAAGGCTCAGATGTTGATGATAGTAATAATGACAATGATAAAAATAATAACGACAACAACAACAATAAATCAAGAACTGCAGAGCCCTCATCAGGGATGTGAAATATGGTGTCTTTTTCAATTGTGGCGATTGCAATTCTAACGACGACAAAAACTTACGATAATTACGTGTGCTTTCGTGGAACAATCGATCTGACTTTTTCACGTGTAGATTACTTTCCCTGGGTAGCAGTGGATGCGGACGACAGCTAAAAATAGCCACGTCTCTGGGTACAAATACTTACCCGTCCCAGTACTTCTCGTCTCTCTCAGCGCAGCCATGCCAAAACTACTGACTTTGCTGTCCTTCAGCAATAAAACAACGATTTTCACTGACCTGAAACCCCTTCCATCGCGTAGTTTATGTTCCATATTTATATATGCACAGTTTTTCTCTCTTGCAAAATTCACCCCCTCCGAGAAATAAGCCTTCAAAAAAAGCTTACTCTCTGCCTCAAAGCGAGGCGCGCTAAAATAACCAGTCACGCGATCTACCATACTCTCCAATCTTAAAACGGCTGCAAGCGCAAAACCTCACTAGTTAATCCCCCTCTGTAAAAGAAAAAATAAATAAATAAATAAATAAACGATTTTTCAGTCGTTTTTTGTGCCAGTTCTAAACTTTGCACGAGCAGTGGAACGGTGTCGTCTCCCTTTTTACGTAACTGCAGTAATGCGCGTTTTTGTACAACTTGAAGTAGAACTGAAGATTCGAACAAAGCTTGTCGCTCCTGCTTGTCGATAGTTTTTTTTTTAAATGGCTTATGCTGCAGCTTCCAACAGTGAAGCAGAATCAGCTCCCGACCTATCCCGATTTTTGTATGACTTTGACGTGGACAATCAATGGAGCCATTTCCGTCATGGACCACCAACAGCCTCCTCGGTTGAACGGGGAAGAAGAAAAACTAGATTCAAAATGGATAAAAGGTACTCTTCAAGGAAGCAAACACCGTCAAGGAGAAAAAATGCCGCCTATCGCGACGTTGACACGGTCAATTTGGTCTGCTGCAACGGTGGATGTCTTTTAAAGAATGGCATAGAGACTGCGAGGCAAGTTATTCGACAGGAACGAGGTAGAGCTTTCTATAGATCTAGAAACTACAACGAACAAAATTACGTGATATCGAAACTTATGCTAGTGGAACTATTTCCTAGCGGACGCAGAAAAATAACCTGCAGTATCCCAGCTTTAGGCCCTGTGTGCAAAATCGCCTTCATGAAATGCTATGGAGTGTCGCCTAAAAAACTTAAAGTCCTTTTAGAGAAAATGGATTGTGACTGTTTATCTATTGACCCCGATAAACGGGGTAGGCACAGTAACAGACCGCGCAAATTGACGGAAGATGCGAGGAGACAAGTAACAGAGTTTATCTGTTCCCATTCGGCAAACCACTCGCACTACAGAAGGGCGCGAACGGAAAAACAATTTTTTGATACGCCGACAACTATGCGGAGAATGTGGGGACAGTTTACTAGACAATACCCGAATTTCACCTCGACACGTTTGGGAAAGAAAAACAAAGGTCCTGTTATAAGTTTTACTACCTTCAGGAACGTGTTCAACGAAGATCTCGGCAGCAGGTTGGGTTTTCGAAAACCACGAGAAGATACATGTCAGGTTTGTGACAAGACCTTAAACACGATAGGACGAATGACAAACGGCGCAGCCGAGGACGGCGCCAGAAATGAAGAAGAATTTCAAAGAATAAGAACAGAACGTGAAAATCATTTAATTGAGGGCGAAAGGAGATATGCTGCCTTAAAGTATGACATGTTTGTTCTGTCTAAGAAACGGGTCAATGGGTGTACAGATGAAAGTTAGCAGATGAATTGTCGACGCTGATTTCCTCTTTGCTTTAGCTTGAAGGTCAAGAAAATGTAGGAAGAGTTTAAAACTCAGCATAGTTAAGGTGAATAAAGTGTTGAAAGAATTTGTACTTGCTGAGTTCGAGTTGATTTGAGAGAAGGTGGGTAACTTTGTAGTTTGCGATTTGATGGCACTAGTAATAGGCCCTCGATCTGCAGCTAGCCATTCATGTGGTACAAAACCGCCATGCTGGAGAGCAAAAGTCGCACTGGGACAAGACAGACAAAAGACATACCGGCATAATTTTAAATGGTAATTTTCTTTGTTAGTCTTGTCCCAGTGCGACTTTTGCTCTCCAGCACGGCGGTTTTGTACCACGTGAATGACTAGCTGCAAAGGGCCTATTACCTTAGCCTACCAAAGCTAATCGCATGTCTCAGATCAAGGCTTTGTTAACTTGAGGAAAGTACAACCTTCCTATGCCTTATGATAGGTGGGTAGCCCTCCCTCCTACCATGCCGTGACATGGGCCTGAATCCGAAAAAGGGTTGCGTATTTGTTATATATCTGTTTTAAAAAAATCGCCCTCCTCGAATTGTCATCCCTTTTAATTATTCATTGCATAAAGAAGTCCCCGTACTAATACAAAATACACACCGCATCACGGAAAAAGATTCACTAAAACACATACAATTTCAGTTCAAAAAAGTACAGGAAACCGTGAGCGATGGCAGACTGAACAGAGATATTTAGAGTCTCTTTTACGGAAAAGAGCAAACGTCAGATTCAAGTTGAGAATTTCACAACAAGAAACAGGGAACACTTGGTCACGTGGTACAAATTCACGTTTGCCGTTTGCCGCAAACGTGACTCTTGGCGCCAACAGGGAGCTTAAGCAACAGCGTTTTTGAGCGACGGACGTCAACCGGAAGTGGGTTTTTTGCAACATTGGGCAGTGGATGGGTTCAAAATCCCGGGCAAATCGTCTTTATAAGAGAAAAGAAACTTAGCAATACAAATTTTTTAGCGTCAAGGCATATAAAAGAAGAGAAGGCCTCACTTCCGGTTGACGTGCATCGCTCAAAGTCGTGTTTGCTTAGGGTCCCTAATGTGAAGACAACTGTGTGCAAGGTCAACGGACCGGCGCGCGCTCTCTTAAGTTTCTCTTCCAATGACTGTCGCAAACGTAAGTGATAACGGTAGTTTTTTTTTTTTTGAATATCGAGCCACTAGCGCAAGCTGTAAATAACTGAAGAGATAAGTTTCAAAGTAAACTGGGTGCTGCGTTAAAGAGGGCACGATGTGTCAAGCCTCACGTAGTCAAGCCTCTTTCATGGACTAAAATGGCCTCGAAAACGCTTACTTTGCATATGGATTTTCACAAAAGCTTACCTACACCAAAGGTGTCGTCTCAAGACTGGTATTACTCAAAAAAGCTCAGGACAAGCCTAATGGGTATATACTGCGCAAACCAGGAGGTCATACACTGTTTTATGTACGACGAGTCTATTGCTGGTGTAGGCCCAAATGAAGTGATCTCAATCTTGGACTATTTTCTCAAAAAACTTCAGACGGAGCAAGGCCGAGACAGGTATGACCATCTTATAGTGTGGTGTGACAATTCTCCGGCTCAGTTTAAGCAAAACTTTCTATTTTTTTATATGGATTACCTGGTCACAAGCCCGTCACAAGAGGAGACTTCCTACGAACAGACTTAAAATTTTTGTTGGAGGGCCACTCGTATGGTGTGTGCGATAGATATTTTGGAAACATTCAAAAAGTTTTTAACGCCCAAGAGAAAATTGAAACACCCAAAGATTGGGAAAACGTTCTAGTCAGCAGTGGTTTATCAAGCGTCAAGGTCTATTGGGTAGGTCTTGACATGATAAAGGACTACAAGTCATTTTTTAAAGTTAAAATACGTCAGTAGAAACGAAGATTTACAGCACGAGAAATTTGAGGTCAAAGAAATCGCGTGGATTAATGTTGGAATTGGGGAACAGCCTGATGACAGCGGCAATCTGAAAGTTGTAGATCATCCCGACTGCGCCTTCGTGCGTTTCACTATTGACCCAAAACAGCAACCCAGGCTAGTTTCGTACACAAAGAAAAGGCAAGCAACTCCACTGCGAATAGACGTACTGACCACACTGAGGCAGGAACTAAGGCCAATTCGTGAAGATGTAAAGCAGCAGTGTCTAAATCTAGCTGGAAAATATTTAAGTGAACGTGCCGAACGTTTTTATGCTGCCCTACCATGTATCCAAGAGGGGAGCGAGATTGACGATTGAAAGTTATCATTATATACCTTTCACTTGAACATGAATCGTGTGTCCTAATTAGCTTCCTCTTTAACGCAGCACCTCAGTTTCCTTCGCCTTGCCTTTGTCTTACAGTAAAACGTATCAAGAGACTAAGAACCTGGATTTTTCAAAGTTATCCTAAACAGGTTATTCTTTTTAATATATAAATGGTAGTTAGTACAGGTTAAGGCTATTCAGGTTCTTACATAGGTTATGTTCTGAATAAGAAAAATACAATATAGCCAAGCGAATTTAGTGGTTCAGCTTATTCCTCATATAAAATCTGCACACCAAATAAGACGTTATGTAAAAACGACCATATAAAGAAAACCTAAAGCATTGACCTCATTGGCATTTAAACAGTCCAGTTAGAGCGATAATGCAAGTATGTCTTCAAAGAGGATTCTGAATAGTGACTGATCTAGCTTTTGCCCAAGGGTACAGGCAAATTTTTTCAGAGATTTTAGAAACTAAGAAATTGTTTCAATTTCTAGACTAAACAGGTTCTTAAAATATAGGTTCTTAGGCAAGGGGTTTCACTGTATAGCACAATGTTATCATTCGCTAATAAAAAAATTGTTGTTGTTGTTAAAAACTACTATTTGCTGCTTGACCATTCCGGTACGACAGTGAGTTAGAAAACTACACTAGCCAATGGTTGGGATTCTTAGATAGGTACCTTTTTCTAAAATCAGACAGATATATATACATATATATATAAACCCGTTTTCAAAAAGGTTTTCATAGAGAGAGATATATAGATAGATATATACTTTTGTTTTCTTGCACGTGCGACCGTGTGCATTTTTTCACTTGTTATTGTCCAACTTGTGAAAAACTCGGTTCAACCATAAATTTTTTGCTCGTCAGGTTCTTTGTTGCCGAATTTGTCAATTGAAAAAATAATGGACGAATATTGTCTGCAATTCTCTTGATTTGCATTCTCTTGAAAATTAAAAAATGAGGAATTCGGTCACTTGTAGGTCATATAATTGTTGTCGTTACAGGATAAGGGGAAAAACGCATATGAATGAAAAAAAATTTGTTTTCCAAACCGCTGAGAAGGAAGATGTGACCGTGGATGTCCATATTGGATATGTGGGAAGGAGCAACAATATTGTAGCAGTTGATTAAAACGGACTAAGACGTTGACGAGGTTCATAGAAGCAGACTTTATCATAACCATGATGAGCTGGTCCTATATCTGAATGTCTCACCTTTTTTCGTGTAAAATCACGGCCTGTAAGGCAACATCTTATTGAAGACAGAATACACTCTCGGCCACAAATGCTTTCAAAGCGCATTTTTTAATACACTCCATCGATAAAAATGCTTCGTCACTTGCTACAGATGCCATGGCATTTGGCCTACCAATTCGGTGACGCCATATAACTCGCGGATCGGCTGCTTCGTGGGATGTTTTCCTCATTCCCAAAATCAGCTATATAATTCGCCATTGCAAATTTGTATCGCAGGGCGCATGTATTTTTCTAAAAAAAAAAAACTCAAAACAACATGTCAAATTAGAACGAAAAAACCCGACTACGAAAAAATTTATCTTTGAACCGAGTTTTTCACAAGTTGGACAATAACAAGTGAAAAATGCACACAGGCGCACGTGCAAGGGAACAAAAGTATATATCTATCCATATATCTCTCTGTATGAAAACCTTTTTGAAAACGGGTGTGTATATATATATATATATATATATATATATATATATATATATATATATATATATATATATATATATATATATTATGTGGGTTGAGCTTGCTGTTAATTCTCTTCTCTGTTCCGAGAGGTTTTTCTCTAGCATGCGGACACCTTTCGGGTCGTCCCTTTTCTTACTGGGGTAGACACCGCCCGCAAATACGTCTACGTTCGCAAGCTAATGTTTCTTCGGAAACTCCGGTTTTCCCTTTCACCCAAACGCAACATGCCAAATTCGAATTCAACCTAAGAAATGTCTTCATTAATTTGGTGACACTAAGAGGGTCACATATTTATCAGTTCTCAGCCTGGGTTGCAAGCGCCACCTTTTTAGGGTGAAGGAAGACATTTCTAGAACACACTCCTAACCCTTCAGGAGCGTGTTCATTTCGCGCGCCTCACTTATGATATGTTTGTAATTAGTTTAAAGGCAATAATTCTTAGTTAACTGAGGAGTCTTTTTGTACCCTTTCCCCATCTAACGCCTGCTACAGCGGCCATGTGTCAAAGACGCACACGGATAAAGGCATTCTTCACACGCCTGAGATCTGAAGTCCACTATACAACACCAATCCTCCCTGTAACATTTTTGTTCCCTTTCTGTGTGCATGATAATGCGGAGGGGAATGGGAGTGGGAGACCATTAGGAAAGAAAATACCAAGTAAGCAAAACGACTAGTAAATTGCAATTAAGAAATGGTAAACGTGCAGCGTGCAACCATGGACTTATGGATGCACACGGGAGGTTGCTAAGTATGGTTTAGTGTTAGCTCAACGTCTCCTTCCTTAAGGTCCATATGAGGACTTATAGGTCCATGTACTTCGAATGTGTGTTCAGCATAGGTAAAATATTCCTGTAACCATCTAGACCACAACTGAAAAATCAGCTTTAAATTTTCTCCCAATTCTTCCTACTCGAACTTCGTAGTATCTATACTCACCGGTGTGAACTGTCCACCTATATTCCCAGACAAAAAATGTTTGGGCGTTAACGACACTTTCAAAGCTTTCTGATTAATGTCTGAGTGCCCTATAAATAAGCAAACTCTCCGCGCCTGTGAAAATTGATTAGTTCTTCGTCAGTGACATCACTCCCACCTAAACCTACATACAGATTTCCTTCTTACACTCATCAGTATCTCATGTACCTCACCAATATGAGGAGCACCCGGAAGGGAGGGGTTAAAATGCTACTCAACTTCCCTCCGTTAAGCCTTTTGGTGAATCATTTCTTTGTCGATCTACAAGTTCTTTACTAGTTCATTGACTGTTACATCGAAGTCGTTTCCATTATCGTGAACCATTTTGGGTTTCTTACTCGATTTTACATTTCAAATACCCGACAAATGAACCGTGTTTCTTTCTGTCGGGTCCATTTTATGTCATTCCCACCACTGGTCAGTTACTCGACAGTTTCAGGATGTGAACTGGAATTACTTTTGTCGTGTTTGTTTGGTTATTCTCGCGGTCGAGACATCCTTCGAGAGTTATTTTGTATTTTTGAGGTAGCCATTTAAGCTAACGATTCATCAATTACAGCGGCAACAAATTTATGAGTCGGCTGGGAACATTTTTTAAAATACATGTCATGAGGCATGAGAGATACGTCAAGACAGTTCCTTTTCTTTTTAGGCCTAGTATGTGTAGCGACTATTGCCGGCCCGTGCAGGAAAGGAAAGTCATATGTATTAAGCGAGGCGTTTAGTCAACCACAAGTATTTCCTCTTGGACATCATTTCAAACCTGAAACCATGGGAATATGGCTTTGGATAGCACCAGGAGTGTTTAAGGTTAACTGTTATTCTGGTAATGATGTTGAATAAATGTACCATACGGAAAAAGCAAGCCTTTCTGGAGGATCTATAACTGGTTTACTGTAAAGTAATTAGGACAATTAGGGGCCTTTTTTCAGTGTCAAGTTTTATAAAGCTCGAAATGTTAATTTTGTTGAACTGGTATTTATAAAATGAACGTCAACTTATTCAGTGCATTGTAGATACTGAATAAAAAATTGAACCGAATCAGTTTTAGTTGATAATTTCTCGATAAGCATGAAAATGGAGATTTACGCAGAATTAAAGTTTGCGTAAACCTGCGTAAAGTTGGTCATCCAACTTTACGCAAACTTTCCACGGCGCGTAAAGGTTTGTAAAGGTAAATTTACGCGCTCGGCTCTTAAAGTTTTCGTAAAGCTAGCATAAAGTTGTTGTAACAGCTTTACGCTCATTTACGCTACATGTAAAGGTTTAGTAAGGTTGTCATATAATGCTACCTTCCTAATGAGGAATTTATTCCCGGCACTGTTTTTAGTAAGTCGTTTGTTTCCTGACACTAGTTCGCATAGTTTTTTTGATCACTCAAGACATTTGATGTTATCGATGTTGGTGTGCGATGTAAACAAGCCAGCCACGCAAATTGTTTTTTTTTGGGCGGTGCAAACGACTTAATTCGTACCCGTTCAAAAATGACGCTGAAAAGAAAATCCTGCCAGCAGAGTTCATGCAAAGATATAACTTGCGACTGTGCGGCAATTTTCGAAAAACGGCATATCTGTCGCGGCAAACACAATAGCCTTCAATACTCAGTAGGTATTGCCTCATTGATTTCAGTCAGTACAGTATAACTGTGTTTGATAGTACAGTTTGTTGCAGTTTTAAGCTCACCAAATTCCAGAAAAAATTGAGGTAGTATCATGTTATATTGAGTCGAACCTCGGATCTAACGGCCACCTGTTCCTTAACGGTCACCTCTCCACACGGGCCATTTTTTTTTTTTTGGCGGACGGTCCATACATGACATACATTCACTCTTCTTTCAACCTCTCTACAATGGCCACTTTCTTCGATGTCCCTAAGGTGGCCGTTGTAGAGAGTTTCAAATTTAATTTGATCAAATTGAAATAACTGGAAAAATAAAGAAAAAATATCGCCGCGCAAAAACGGCGAGTTTTACTTAAAGAAAGAACGCATTACCTAGAGTGAAAGAACGCATTCACAAATTACTCTGACTATTTTACATTCAACGGAGTACTGGCTTCATTGTTGAATCTCCTTTATCACTTCCTTATTTTAAGTCCGCGGACTTCAGTTTTGGGAACGGGCAATTTATTGAAAGAAAGGGGCCTGGAAACAATACAGTGAAGGGACAGCTGGTCAGCGGGCTTGTTCCTTTGCACATGCTCAATCGGGTTCGTTGATTTGGCGTCCATTTTGAAAGTGTCAAACGGTTTCAAACTTGCTTCTTTGGAAGTTTGGAGATCGTTCATACATAATTATGCTTCTTGAAAGCATCACAGGACATCTTAAGGTTGTTAGAAATTATTATTGCACTATCAGCCTTTAGTAATCGATCACTTCTCAAGTGTAAAGCAACCCTTTCGGGACGAGATGGAGACAGAAACATCCTGTGAAGCGCAAGCATTAACACTGGAATGTTCACAACACAGACCAAGACTGTATTACTAAGGCTCTTCGACACTCAAGATTTCACTGAAAAGAGCAGATAGTAAGGCAAGGTAAGTTGTCCTGGCTCGCCTTTTCTCTAACTTTTTAAGCTTAATTCCAAACTTGTTTATGATGAGTTCCAATGACTGTGTCAAGTATTCAGTAACTAACATTTCAGTGAGTAATGAAACCAGCATTAACCGTTTAAAGTAAATTATAACTAAACAGGTGTATTTATTTGGCATAACCTTTCAATACTAAACAAGCAACGAGACCATGACGATGAAGATGATAATGTAAAATTATGTAAAGACTTTAGGGGTCTGAAGGAGTAGAGTTTCCTTGTTTTGTACTGGAAAATAGGAGTTTGGTCACTGGTACTGGGAATTACTAAAAGAAATGGAATTAAGAAAGAACATCTGTATAAACTAAGCTTGCATGTAATGTGATACAAACATTCTTATGAAAATTTTCACAGACTATGGAAGAACTAATAAACAGAAGAGAAAGGTGTTAACAAGTGTTGAATTTACAAATAGGCAAAGATAATCTAGTCTGGTTCTATATTTTCATGCGTCAGTTAATAAGAAACCCAAGCTTCCCAATTCCCCGGGCAGTCATAGCGAACAAAACCTCTCTGCAATCCAGGTCATAAGTAGTGAATAATTTAACAGCATGCGTGTATTTTTTGAAGCAGATACAAAAGTGTATTTATGATTTTAAATTACGTGGGTTTTAACTTAAATGAACAGAGAATGAATAGACATTTTCATGAGTCTTTCAATGCATAGCTAATGCAGACCATGATTGAATTAGAATGTATTTTCATGTAAGTGCCGACATAGTTGTTAACATCTTCAGAGTTTCATACCTTTATCTGCAGTTCAAAGTATGATTCATTTCATATATTACCGGTACCATTCATTTCAATCTTTACTGTGCACTGCTCTTATGAAATTATATTATGGTTCTTGAGAGGATACAGTGCAGTACATACTGTCAGGAAATTAAATGCCTTACTTTTTGGGAAGCAAAGCACACAATCATGTTAGAAACTAGAAGTTGTTCTATTTGCACCATAGTTGTGTCATTAGTAAATCTAAGTTTTAAGGAAAATAAAATTTAAAGAAACAAGTTGTTGCCCGTCGGGCAAGTTAAGTTCAAAATTCACTAGCTCGATAGCAAAATTCGCTAGCCCCGGGCTATCGGACACTACTTTCTTTGCACGCTGCTTACTCTCTAATAATAATAATAATAATGTACATCCAGTAGTTTTTCAGAGCACTTTACAACAATATTAATGGAGGATACTTTTGTAAAAATGCATACATGAAAATAAAAAAAAAGATATACATTGTAAAACATTGAACTCTAATAATATAATAAACCATTATTAATAAATTTAACATATATATATTATGCTTCAGTCAGTCTCCCTATTAATCACTCAACATCAAGGAGGGTTCTAAATGTCAATATTATTGCTTTTAAGCAAAGCCTTTAACTCATAGTAGTCAAACATTTTGAATCTTTAACAGTCAGATGAATGTTATTCAGTTGTGTGAATTTGTAGACATTGAACTCATTTGCTGCTCAGGTTTTGCTCTGTTATCAGTTCCCTTGTGGAAAATGCCTTATCATTTTTTCAAATTTTTAGTCTTGGTTTGTGAAAAGAGCCATGTGGGGAACCCTCTGTCATGTAAAATTGTGCTGATTGTAGTAATTTGGCCATAAGTGCAGAAAAAAATATTATTAAGTAATAGCAGGCGGTGTCGTCTGGCAACTTAGGGGGTGTTTACATGACACCGGGTTCGACTTTCGCCCCGGAGCGAGTTCACTCCGGTTCCCTCTCATGGCTCTATATTTGTTTACATGATACCACCACAAAATGTCATGCCGGCGCGAGTCACCCCAGAGTGAGTTCACCCCGGTTCTTGTACCGGGGCAATAATTTCACTCTGGTACGAAATCTCGCAGCGGTATCATGTAAACGCGAAAAGACCACCCGTTTCAGTGTGAAATCAGTCTACCGGTGGACTGGAATAGGTAGCGCATGCATAATGTTTGCGATTTTGAATCACACGTGTATTTTATCAAAATGAAGTGTACCTTCAAATAACGAGATATGAAATGACTCAGTCATAATGTAAACCCAATGCAAAATCAAAAAGTCATGCCGGTATGGGACTCGCGCCAGTGCAATTTTTCTCATGTAAACACCCCCTTACTGTACATGTACTTGTGCCTTTAGTGCCCGATTAAGTGTATTATCACTAGCCTACAAGTAATCTGTGTAGTTTACTCAAATAATACTTGCTTTCTATTTATTCAGCAGATCAGCCTGGTATGGGATGTTGGTGACAGAAAGTCCTCTCAAAGCAAACAGGATTAATACATGTTAATTACAAGCTTTAGTCTTGTAAAGTGGTTCCATGGCTGTCACTAAGGGCCATAAACCAGACTTTAAATTGGCTACTTTGAGCCCAATACTTTGCTATTTTGAGAGGAAACGAAAGGATAATTTATTAAAACATAAACAACTTACCACCCTTTCATTGTCCCACTCACTAATTTCATTTACTCTCTAATAACTTGCAATTTCAGTGACAGCCTTGTGCATCTAACTTTTACATCATCAGTTTATGAAAATGATTTGTTATTTGGATTTTTTTGTTAAATTTGACTGAGAACACTTCTGGGAGTGAAAGGACTAAGTCAAGAAACCATTAATGATATACATGTATTAGGCTTTCAGTCTTTTTATTTCTTATCTAAGATTGTTTAAGCTTTTTATTTGAATTACCGGTATGCTAAATTATACTAAATATTTTCATTTTGGAAGAGACCATTTTGACCCACCTTTACATTAATTTGTGTGTTAGAGTTGCTGTTTTTTATCAAAATTTGACTTCATCAGTTTTCTTGTACCTTACATGTAAATACTAATAATTATTTTAAACTATAAAACATCTTAATTTGGTATAATACTAAGTTAAGATGATTTTTTTTTATTTTTTGAGAAGACTGTTTTGACCCATTTGAAAAGTTTATATTCACTGTATCTTCTTATTTAAACCTTACTAAGGTGTTGGAAAATTTTTCGTTTTTTTTAATTTTTAATGTAATGACAAAGATGCTAACACAGAAATAAATCATGTTATATTTAGAAAATTCTGTTTTAGAGTATCAGTGTGTTTTGTTTTTTAAAACCTTGTAAGATTACTCTTTTCGGGACGACACTGTCTTAAAGAATGCTATTCGTATTTGCAACTTTTGCAGTTACAACAATGTAGCATACCTGGCGATTTTCATGGGATTTGAAATGTAAAAATAAAGATAGGCAATTTGAAAATTGGTTATAGTAATGCAAAATTGCAAACGGAAAGGGGCCCTAAATTTTCAGCTACTACTCCTTTGCAAGTCCGCGTAACGCGTAAAAGGATTGTCTAAATAAGATCTTTACACCAACTTTACGCTTCAATTACGCTGGTTTAAGTCTCTGCTTTAATGCGCATTTACACCAACTTTACGCAGACCTTAAACTGTCTCTTTACGATACCTTTACGCATGTGCGTAAAGGTAGCGTAAAGTTCGACTTTACGTGGCGTAAATGGGTCGTAAAGTTACGTAAATGAGAACTTTACGCCAGCTTTACGCCACCATTACGCTCACTTAAATTTCTTTTTTCGTGCTGTGACAGATTTTCGTCAATAAGCACTCCAAGATTATTAATATTAGTAATTATTGATATTATCAATGTTGTTGTTATTATTATTGTTGTTGTCGCTGTAATTCAATGTTATTTTAATTGTGCCCCCGCAGGGATTTCGCCGAGAAGGCGAAGTCCCAAGGAGGCACTCTAGTAACTCGGCGCGCGTATATTAAGGGAGTACTTACAGTTGAAATATACAGTCATACATTCAATACAGAAAAAAATCTCGATTTGCTTGAACAGGGGCCGCAAGGAATCGATAGGTAATGATGACGTTTCTATAATTTGCGCCCGCAAGTACGAAATGGTCCGCTTAGGTAGATTTTGTGACATTTATTGTGCAATCATACTTCGTTACGTGTTATCAGTGACATTCTGCGGAGCAGTTGTTTTGAAAGTTATAGACCAAAAGACACTCGTTAAGCGCAGATGAAGTTATAAGGCGCGTACTGTGTATATATAAACAATTGGAGAGTTTGCCAGACACGAGTTTACAAATCTTTGATTGGAAACCTTGCCAGACACTCTTTCTCTCTTTTTGACCGGAATAAAACTCAGCCCCAAACAAGCAAGAAGAGTGAGCGACGGCTAGCTTATCACTAGAAGAACGATGGACGATCACTGAAATTCACCGACAATCAAATTCTGTGCTGACTTATTCCCTGCTCATAGATGTCCATCCGCTATAAAGTTTAAAATAAGACTAGAATGCGCGAGCGTGAATTGATCAAACGTCCTTTTAATTTCAAAGGCTTACTTTCCGGCAAACAAAATGAACCGAATGTAAAAAGTGAAAGTAAAATAGCGAAAAATTCAACTTCTAATTAAATCTTTTCATATGGTTTAGAATAAACTAGGATAAACTATTCTCGAAACTGAGAATGTTTTGATCAAAGCTGTGTAAATCGAACTGAAACTGCGCATGGAACCTTGCCGGTTTCCTGTATTTATCTCACCTATTGCATGGAATATGTGTGAAAATCTTCATTATGAATCGGTATATTTCAAAGAGCTACACAATTAACGAGCAAGAATACTATTGACCGACAATATACAGAGCGGGGCCAGCTGTAGTGTCAACTATTACTAGCAGAAGCATATAATCCCTATATGCTTCTGTTAGTAGTTATTACTATAGTACCGATAAAAGCCATAAGAAAATTAATTTTTTCTATATTTTTAGGATTCCTGGGGCCAGGAATTCCGCTTGGTACTACTTGATTCCGAGGGAACTGGCTCTGTTGATGGTGAAGGTTATGATGACAACCAGATTTTCACCTTGACGGTTTTACTGGCGTCGATTTTAATATACAATTCGCATGACGTTCCTAGAAGGAGAGATCTTGAGGAGCTAAAGTATCCTCTTGACTATTTCTAAAGCATGTTGTCATTGAATTATGCAGAGTGTGATTAGATGAGAAGAATTTGCAGATCGAGGAGAATGATAACAGAGTATAACAACCTTCGAGATCTGCATGATCCTTTACATCATACGAGGGCCGAATTCAATTACCTTATTATAGGAAATTAACGCTTCATGAAATTAAGGTATTGGAAATCAGCGCGACTTAAATTAACGCGAATTTAATGGAAAAAGACTTTCGAATAAAGAAAATTAACGCGAAAGAGGAGGTAGAATTTCATAATAAAGGAAATTAACGCGATTAAGACACAGTTGGTGGTGACAACTGGAACAAATTTCTTTCAGCACAGGATGCAAAAAAATTCAAAGCAGAACAAAACTGAGCGGACATCACTTCTGACAGCGACAACGACAAAGACGAACTCGAAATATTGTAAACCTTCGCCTTAGCTTTTGTGAAGGATGAAAAATAAAGGGTAAATGGAAAGAAAGAAAGCTTCTAGTTAATGTTTTTCAGGTGTCATGAATGTGTGGACATGTTCCAAAATTGCGGTTAAAATACTGGAAATTAAGAGCGCGGAAATTAACGCTGCACTTAATTAACGCTCAACAAAATTAACGCGACTTAAATTAACGCGAATTTTAACGATTCGCGTTAATTTCATGGAGCGTTAATTTCCTATAATAAGGTATTGTTTTATTATTCATTCTAACCACCTCTAGTACCTTGACATAAAGAAATCTTACCTCCTGGCGGTAAGGTTTACCGCTTTACCTGTTTTTCGGGACGTTTTTTTTCTTTGAGATACGTTGTTGAAAAGTGATGAGACGTCATTCATTGAGAAATATTTTCGCGTAATATTGCATTTCTGCCATTCATTTTTAGTCAGAAATTCGGCTATTTTATCTCATTTATTTATTGACACCACCTCTTCATATACGTTTGACAGTCATTGTGAGATAGAAAATTTTGTACAGAATATTTTCCCTTGATGTTTGATACGTCTTTAGACAAAGTCCTAGAATTTGGTGTGACATTTTGCCCCCCCCCCCCCCCACCCTCTTCCTCACGGCTAAATTACGCGAGTTTCTAAATAAATTTGAGCCAATCTGTGGAAAAAGCAGACAAAATTGCAAATTCGAGGAGGTAACTCTAAGGGAAAGCAAATTGGCTCTCCTTTCCCATAAGAACTTCTGATCTTATGTAAAGGAACTTCAATCCAGGAGGAACCTGTTTATTTCTATATATGCAAGAAACATAGAAAAACCGATCTCAAGCACCAGACAGGTATGGAACTCGATCATGATTAGCCTTTGCAACACATACCAAAATAAAAGCCTCACTGTCCGTTTTTTTGTAATATGTAGATTTGAAGGGACAAAAGGTGTATTCGTGCTGTGCTATAGCAGATTTCTTGGTAGATTACTTTCATCTGCCGAATGGTTCAGTTTTATGCTACTATTATGGTAACGTACTAAGAATCGTTTATTTTAACATGTTCCTTAAAGATCCAAACCCTTTTGAGCCAGCCCACCCTAAGCCTTATCTTTCAAGCAAGGCAATCATAACAAAAAACCCAATTCGGGAATGCCTGAAAATCGTGTGCTATAATATTTCAGTTCACTTTAAAAGGCATTAAGAATTAAGAAAGCAGCTGGTCTAGGGATTCTGAAGCAGAGCTTGTACCCCCGATAACGTATCTTATCAATAAATCAATTGAGGATGGAACTGTTCCTGCCTTGTGGAAAGTGGCATGCGTAACCCCGTTGTACAAATCTGAGAGAAATTACTGGTTGAGAATTATCGACCCATTTCTGTGTTGCCGGCGTTAAGCAAAATTATGGAAAGGGTGGTACACAAACAAATGAGTGCTTACCTTGATCGACAAGGTTTTCCACATAGACACCCGTATGGCTTTAGACGTGGACATAATACAACACAAGCTGTAGGACAATTGAATAACTGAGTGCTCGAAGCCGTGGATGGGGGCAAACTCACTAGCTTGCTCTTTGTTGATATATCAATTAAGGCTTTTGACTACATCAACCTGGGAAAACTTGAGCTCTCACGAATGTCTGGGAGAGCTCTGGGGTGGTTTAAATCTTACCTTACGGACAGACAGCAAAGTGTATATGTTAATGGAGAGTTGTCGGAGACTTATCAAATTGCTCTTGGTTTTCCTTAGGGGAGTTTTTTAGGACTCCTGTTATTTAACATTTATATGAATAGCTTACCAACAGCGGTGGAAAGGAGCTGTATGATATTATATGCGGATGATGCTGAGTTGATTTATTCTGCGACAACACAACGCGAGTTAAACAAAATTTTGCAACGTCAGTTTAACCTTATTTCGGACTGGTATACCTATAATAGGTTGACCCTTAAAGTTAAAAAGACGAAGATAATGTTTGTAGGGAGCAAAACAATGCTGTCAAAATTTGAGGACTTTGATTTTTCTCGAGGGGGCGGGGGGGGATTGGTTATGTTTCTTCTTTGAAATACCTCGGCTTATCCTGAATCAAAAATGGAATTGGAAATTACATATTAGCAGCGTATGGAGGAAACTTGACCATCGGCTGTCGGTGTTTAACCGTATTTTACATATGTTAGATAAATGAACTCGCCTAACTTATTTTAATGGCTTGGTGCTTCCGCACTTGGATTACGCGCACACCATTTGGGGAGATCAGCCTGACTTAACATCATTAATCCAGCAGCTACAGGCTTTCCAAAATCGGTTTGCCAAGAAGATCACGGGAGGCACGTTTTCTTCAGGCGAGGCCCTGGCATCGTTGAAATGGTTTCCACTTCATGGGAGGCTCTTTGGACAGACATCGATGTCTTACAGTTCAGAATGCAATCAAGGAAGATGCTCCACAACACTTTGAAATATTTAGGACCCCTTTAAGTCAGCTTCATAATTTCAATACTAGGAACGGAGCTTTCAACGATTGGGTTCCCTGCCTATTGAACTTAAAAAACAAATGCCGAACATGATTTTTAAAAGAAATTTGAAAAGGTTTTTATGTAATTCTTTTTAGGTTGGCTTACGTTCTTAATTTTTATGCTACTTACTTTTCATATTTCATTTTAGGATTTTTAATATTATATTAGTTTTAGTATTTTAATTTTAATAGAGGACCCTCCCGAAAACCACTCTTAGTGATGGAGCCCTCCTCTTAAAATATGTATTTTATTATTTATTTTATTATATTAATAATTCAATCTTTACAAAGAGTTGAACAACCTTTACTAGTTTTTTAGCTTTATCGTTAAGCTCTGTCAGAGCATCCAGGTGCAATCACAAACAAAAGCTGCAGTTGGACAATCGCAGGAAGACTCAAAGTTTTTCTATAGAACATTTCCTTTCTTCATCTGGTTGCTACGAGACGTCACTCAGGACATTCCGGAAGAAAATGTGTCAACATCAAAGACAACTTTTTGAAGATGGTATACTTAATTAAAATTGCCGTGTGTGTTAAATTAGGAATCATTTTCAGCAGCTGTGCCTTATTGATTGCATTAGCACTGATTCGAAAAATATATAACTGATAGCTGAATGGACACATCGAAAAATAGGTAGATCCTTATAACATTGTTTTCGTTTTGACCCTAGCAGAACTCATATTTTTCTAGCTCTAGGAAATTGTTCCCCACGAGATATGTGGTCGAAATGCTCGTCGCCTTAAAAAAATGTTTCAGATCTTATAGAGGTTTAAGTAAGCCCTATAACCTTTTTTGTGCTATTGATATAGCTTTTAATTTTACGCGAATAGTCAGCTTAGATACCCATCTTAAGCTTTCGTTTGCCGCGTTTTATGTCACGAACAGCCCAGCTAAAAATCTGACATTGCTTAATTCATACAGGTTTTCAAGGTTCGCGATTCATCATCAGCTGAAACTCAAGATGGCCAGAAGGTTGCTGATAGCATCCTAAATTATTTCTCTGGTTTTGAGGCGTTTCAATTACCTTCTCCCACTTGTGACAAAGAGCTGCTGAAGAATATCAACGATAACAAAAGTCAAATAAATCCTTCTTTTATCCGTGAATTAGATCAATTCAAACGGATGCTGGGAAATATTCTGACCCCTAAAAAGAGCTTTAATGAAGGAGAGCTGGTTACTGGAGAAGGTACAGATTTTTTTCGTAATTTGAGAAGAGGAGGACACCAGCCTCATTTACTATAGAAATAAGATGTATGATATGCAAGTTTCTAGTCGATATCAGTTTCTTTCACTACATAGGAAAAGACAGGGGGTCCTTCAGACTTCGCTTTTTTTCAAAATATTTATCTTAGAGAAAAATTGTTTTTCCGGCTCACGTTGCAAGTTCTAATGTTTCTGTCGCTATTAGGCAGAAAACACTCTACGGAATATTGTTATTGCTGGCGAGCAAAAGTGAGCCCGCAGACTATTCATGGTTAGAGGCACTTTTTAAACTGTATAAGGAAGTTTTTTCAAAATCCGTCCACATTCTCGGAATGCCCGTATTGTACCAACTAAAAAGCGTTGTATGCGACCAGGAAGGCCCTGGTGTTGACACAGGAACTTAAAGGGCTTTTTCTTACTCACATACACAAATATGAAAGCCATTGTCATTAATCACGTTTTAAACTTACATGTTCGCGCACACTTTCTAACTATCCTTTACTGATAGTATTATTGCTTATGTCATTTCCTTCCGTTCTTGAATGTAAGTGACCGGTATCTAGAATAATCGGGCCTTGCATCGAACATTTTTATTTCGTTTTACTAGCTGTCAGAGAACCACTCATCTCCATTAGAAATGCACGCAATGACAAAAATGCGTATTTGGCAAAAAATTGCCAGAGGGTTGGCGAAAACTTAAAAGAGATTTCAAGGGGTGTGTCTTGTAAAGTAGCGAAGTTGACGCTGGAAAATAGCGAATCTGGCAAAAATTTGCCATGCGTTTGGCCAAAGGCTTAGCGAAAATTTAAAAGAGATTACAAGAGGAACTCCATGTAAGGTGGCGAAGTTGATGAGAGTGGCAAATATCACAAAAGTGCCCAGATATGGTGTATGTATGTCCCGTTGTTCAAACATGTCTCCAAGTATTGCCAGGATCTAGAATTCATGCTTCAGTTTACAAGGGCCATTTTGAAACAAGTGATATTGCTATTTTTGTTGCATATAAAGTAGAAATACTGTTAATAGTCCCAACGCAATTTTTGGCCCAACTTGTGTCTGATTATGGCCAGGATCATGTGTTTATCACTTTCCAATTGCCAAATAATATGTACAAGAGTCAAATAACATTGTGACCTCCATCTGAGACTACACAACTCAATTGTTACCAATATGCTGCTATAACATTACAAGACACTTCCGTTATTGGTTCACTGCATTAATTAATCTTGGAGTTTTCACTCTTAAATCAATACACTTACACTTTCTGTAGACATCACGTTCCAAAATATCCCAGAATTACAAAAAAATGCATGTCATTTTCAAAAAAGGTTTTTTTTTCAAATTATCCGTTCATGGATTCATGACCTGGGCACTACTCGTCGAACCTCGTCACCAGGACCTAGAGTTAGCCCGCGAGCAAGTTCTCCAGGGCGCCCCTCGTTAGAGAGCCCTGGAGAGCTATATCATTGACCTGTTATAATGACACTGGCGAATTTTCACCAAATTCCACATTTCCTTCAAAATCGCCACTTTGAAAGAAGCCCTTTGCAGTATCATTATATTTGACTTTCGGCGAATGTCTGCGATATTCATATTTTTGCCAAATTCGTAATTGCAACTCTCATAGGAACCATTTGTTATCTCGTTCGACTTTTTGCTGACTTTTTGGCGAATTTTTGCCATTGTGGCAGTTTTCGCCAAATTCGCCATTTTCTTCAAAATTGCCATTCTCAAAGGGGACCCAAGATCGTTTTATTTGACTTTTTACAAAAGCTTTGGCGAACTTTCGCCATTTTTGTTAAAATTGCTACTTTTTTAGGGGCTCCTCTGCCATCTTATTTGACTTGTAGCTAACGTTTTAGCGAATGTTCGCCAATTTCGTTGAGGGGTACAATTTGCCACCAAAAGGACCCCTTTGCCATCTCATTTGAATTTTTGATAAGACTTTGGCGAATGTTCGCTCTATTCGCCAAAATCGCCACTCTCAAAGGGGACCCTTTGCTACCTAATAAGAATATTCACCAAACTTTAGCGAATTTTCTCCATTTCCTTTTTTTCCCGGGTAAAGTACAAACTAATTTAATGTCCAGTTCCTAGGTTGCTTGCTAGCTCAATTAGCAAGAGCACCGCACTCAATTTTTTCAGGCTTTCTCAGTTTCGGAACTGCATGAGTTGCATATTAAAATTTGATGATCGTCACTGCATTTATAGTTCTTACTGTCGTTTTCCAGGTCTCGCTGCACGAGTTCAGTTGTACGTTGAAGCACTCAATAGTCCAGGGGTAATTCCTAATATTCAGAATGCCTGGGAAACCTTTGTGGAGAGAAAGTGTTTCGAGGCTATAAGAGGGGCTGTGAATAAATACGAAGATGTTATGAAGTCAAACCTGAAAAACCAACGTCCTTGTGGTAATGATGAATTGCGCAAGTTCCATGGGACTGCATTAGAAAAAGGTGAAGGCTACTTCATGACAGAAACGGTGGGAATTTCAACTAGCACCACGGAGAATTACCTAAACAAACTGAAGGTTGGTATAAAATAAAGTAGTTGTCAATAGCAAGAATTGGGTAGGGTAGAGGGGTAAAAAATGTAAAAAAAAAAAAAAATTGTAAAGTGATTTTTTACCAACGAAGCACTTAAGAGTTTATATGAACTCGTTTAAACGTGTCCGTGCTTTCCAGATCGAATTGGAATTTGGAAGTGTTGGTTTTTGAGGAGAGGGGAAAACCGGAGTACCCGGAGAAAAACCTCTCGGAGCAAGGGAGAGAACCAACAACAAACTCAACCCCCATATGGCGTCGACGCCAGGATTTGAACCCGGGCCACATCGGTGGGAGGCGAGTGCTCTCACCACTGTGCCACCCTTGCTTCCAGGGGTGTGAAGAAACATGACGATAGCTGAGCTTGTTACGCAAGAACCAAGAGGGGATAAAGGGGACAGAGGAGGCATCCCCCATACACACCCCATAACATAGGTAATTCGTCTCGAGTTATTTTTAGAATCGGGATAAAGTTACCTCGCGTGCTGCGTGGATGTTTCGTGGAGGTTTCGCATGACTAAACGCCGTGCAAAACATGTCGAGCGAAAGGCAATGAAAGCGTAAAGAGATCGAGAGCATTTCTGAATACTGAAGCGAAATAAGTCGGCGCTCACTTGGGTTAAGGGAATCGTTGGACTCTTTGACAACCCCTGAAATCAGTTTAACTCGAAGTTGTCGTAACCTCAGTGCTTTAATATAAGGAGAAATTTCGCCGGTCTATTGAAACCGGTCGTCTGTACAATAAAGCAAGTAGGGCGCCAAGTGTTATTTTTGTTGAATAATAAAAGACTAATAAAAGAATAAATATCAAACCAAAAATTGCTCTCTTCAAACTGTAAATTGGAAATGATCCTGATAGAATATTCAGCGTGTTAAGGATTTCCCTGATGTACTGTTAGCTCTATACAAGAGAGGAGGTGCGATTCTTTTTTAATTTCCGCTTCGCTGACACCGCTTGAGTAGAAATCTCTATTTTATTTTAGTCGTTTTCGTCGACAAAACGAATAGCAATATCGCTCTCCGCGTCTTCCGCCATTTTTTCAACGTTAATTCGTGAAGGGCGCGTGGCTCTGAGCGTGGATCATCCACGCGGAACCCATTCGCGCTATGTGATTGGCTGTTGTCTAATCCCCCTTGGGATCTGTGGTCTTAAAAATAACTCGATACGAATTACCTATGGAATAGGGTGTGTATGGGGGATGCCTTCTCTGTCCCCTTTATCCTCTCTAGGCAAGAACCTAATGGACAATAGTCAGCCTTTTATAATGGCTTCAGTATAAAACATAACAGCCCACCAAATAAAAAATACCGTCGGTTGCATCTAAGCGTGGACACGAGACCACAAAACATTTTCTAATAGAGCTTTAGACATGAAGTGTTTTGCCGCCAAACGTCTTAAGTTAGACGGCCATAAGTTCAACCATTGAAGTATTCACTTGTTCCAAAGTAATCAACTCTTTCAAGCGATAGAATTCGTGGACCTACCCGTTCCGGAAAAGCTCTACACTTTTCACTTTAATCTTCCCTGCATGGCTTTCGTCACGCCAAGATACTTATCCCTAGTTTCCACGGTCTCTGATAGGAACGCCTGGGACCATGACTGACGATTTGAGGCCCACACACGAAAAAAAAGAAACGCTTGCATTTTCTGAGTCTCGCCACTAAAGCAAGCGAGACTAATAAGCTACTGTTCGTACTTCACCTTGACCTTGCTGGGTCCCTGGGTGAGCAAGACGGTTCAAAAGTCTTAAGCGATTCTGGCCTTACTTAATGGCTTTTAGAAGCTGCATCTCGATTTGTAAGCATCTTAATAAATAGCAAACACGGCGAAGCCGGCTTAAAACTCTAGCTTAAATCTACAAGGTTTTTTACAATGTTTTCTTCAGGTATCAGGATTTTGAGAGACACGTCACTCTCAATACATTTCTTCGTGAAAAAAAAATGTTTAAATGTTTCATTGAATTATATTTCTTACCTTGATTGTTTGGCAAGATCCCTTTCTTATGGCTTTGTCGGTTGTTTTCAGTCGTACATGAACATTGCATGCAGGAGTGCTCAAAATGCTACGTGAATCACATGGTTTAGATTACGATGTTTTACAAGTAAAATGCAAGCGAGATGATCCTGAGACCTCTTCCTACTAAGTGTGTCGATTTTTTATATAAATATATATTGTTTATTTCGAAGCGTAACTCTATAGACCCCTTTACGGTTGTGAGGGCCTGCTGGGTAATCAGGACAAGATGGTGGAAAAATCAAAAGTTTGTATGAGAATGCAAAGTCATGTAATTCTTGCCAATTGAATATGTTTGTCACTTTCCCTTTGAAAAATGTAACTAATGAGCTTAACGAAACTACACATTAAGTGTGGAGGCATAGCAGTCCTTTGTTGCTTTTTAGAAAACCTGAGTTCTTCCATACTTTTTGTGCAATCGGACAACACAAGAATTACAAATAATGTATGTAAGACGTAAAATTTTCTAAAAAGCGACAAAGGACTGCTATGCACTCCACATTTAGTGTATAGTTTCTTTAAGTTCGTTAGTTCAAGTTTACAAAGAGAAAGTGACGAATATATTCAAAAGGAAGAATAAGTTGACTTTGAATTCTCATACAAACTTTTGAATTTCCCGCCATCTTGTCCTGATAACTCAGCATGCCCTCACAACCGTAAAAGGGTCTATTACCGGGTACTGTTCATTCAAAGATCGAGAGCTCGCACTGAAAGTTTGGCGCTTCTCAAAATTCAGAATTGGCCACATGGGTGATTTTGGAAATTAAAATGATAAAGATTATTTTTGGAAGTGTTTGCTCAAGGCCCACTATTACCCCGCATACTACATAATGACAGATTGACCTGACTGAACAGTCCCGTCTAATAGTGAATTCTCTACATATAAAAACATTTTATGTTGTTGTCAGTTTTATAATTTGTTGTGCAAGGGAAGCTCGTGCTTCGATCGTCCTGAATATTGAATGAGTCCAATTTGTCTTGTAAAATTATTCTGTGAAAAACTGCAGAATTATAAGTAGAATAGGGCAAAAAATGACAATCTCCGAGGTTTAAACGATAATTAAAAATTAAACAAAGTCTGATAGTTCTTTTTACCTCAGAGATGATTCAAAAAGGCTGGTTTACGAGCTACCAGATCTGTAAAGTAAACTCGTAGTGAGCCACACCAAAAAAATCCGGCCTGAATTTTCATTTTGGTCTTCTTCCTTTAGACAGAAAGATACAACCAATAAGTTATAACGTGTAAATTGGCTGCCACCGACGGCTATCGTGTCTTAACGGCCTTTATAGCATAAAATTATATTTCGGGACTGTCCAATTACCGTTATGAAATAAAGGTGGTGTAGGTGGGCAAATAGGTTATTTTGCTTGAGAGGAATTTATTTTACAACCCTAATCTACTGTGATCAAGGGCGATTGCTGTGTTTTGGGTCTACATATAAGAATATTAACTCGATGTAAGATTTTACATGTTCTTTTATGCTTGCACTGTTTGCAAATTATTTTTTCTCTTAATCACCCAGCCACACCCTTTAAAGTCACATGGATCTCTCCAGTTAACTGATATGTGGATAAATTATAAATTTACATTTAAATTATAAATTTATGAACTGGAGCTACGCTTTTAGCCCTGACTAAATCTCTCTATATACAAAAAATCAATATATATAGATATATATATATATATCATTTTGTTTATCGAAGGATTATCAAATACTTTCGTTCAGGAAACTTAGCTTTATTCGGCTATGTCCTCTTTTGTTTTCGCCTTCGTTTTTCTTCTGTTTAGGAACTATTAAATGAGAAGCTGGAATCATGGAAAACCAGAAATGACGAGTTAACAAGAGGATTCTGTAACAGCTTACTAATTCAGCTGAAAGAGAAACGTCTTGATCCACTCCTTCGACGACTACAGGGGAAAGAAGCGGCCAAAATATCTTTCGATGAAATCATTGGTGGATACAATCAGATAAAGGAGGATTACCACAATTCTGCTATAGGAGCCAAAGATGTTATTGCCGCGGTTTTCTACGAATTTCACCTGGTACGATTAAACGTTGAAAATTGTCCATTTTTTCGAATTATGTAATGTGACCGCCTATTTGCTAAGTTAGATCAGTTCTGGTTCGTCAAAGTTAAAACTGAAACAGACATCCGTTGGTCTTTATCATCTGAGAACCCCCTCCTAGTAGCAACTTAAGACGTTCACCGGATTAAACTACTGGCCCCAGTTCCTGAAAAGCCGATTAATCTATCTTCCGGTTAGCAGTTAATCCACGATTAAATTTCTTATTCCACGGATAACTAATCGTGGGTTAAAAAGTTGTTCCTAAAAGCGAAATTATCCCGCGATTAACTTATCCCAGATTAGTGCAAAAAAAAAAAAAAACAGTTTAACGAGTTTTTCGACAGCCTGCTTCTAAAAAAACTTTTTTCCCCGATTAGTGAGTTGATCGTCCTCGCTAGGTTTGTTAAATTTAACACGTAGTTTATTCCTAGGTTAGTCTTAATTGTGCTTTCAGGAACAGAATCTAATCGTGGGATAAGATTTATTCCGCGATAAGCGATATTTAATCCTGGATTAGCGATAATCGGCTTTCCAGAAACCCGGGCCTGGGCTGTTATTCCTCTCAGTGAATTTGTGCTCGTTTTTGTTTGTTTGCAGGCCGTTTTGGAAGAACAAGAGCAATACTTGAGTTTGCTAAGACAACTCAAAGACTATGATAAGGAACTAGCCCATGGATTAGTATTTAAGGCTTTTCAAGAACAGGAGAGGCAAAGGCTTGAGGTTCTATTTTTTCTCACGATGCTTTTGACTTTAGAAAACTTGAATAAGCAAGGGTCACCTCTTTTTCCTTTTCACACTGGGGCAGCTGCATAAAAAATGATCCTTTCCAAACTAGTTTTTCAATTTTTATTTGTTTGAGCTAACACTTTGAGGGATGACAGAAGTCGGTATTTCCCAGCTATCGCTTGTTTTTGGATTTCTATTTTAACGGTTTTTGACAGGAAAATGAGCTTATAGGATTAATTTAATTAATTTTAGACTTTTGACGTAATAAGTAAGCATCCTACCGTTGTTAGCGTGGTTTTCAATTAAAATAGTTATAAAATACGCCAGTCACCTGGCCTTCTCCTAATATTTTAATAACGCTCACGAGTTGTGATCTATGGCTGACGACTTAAAATGTTTATCTGTTGACAGGAAGTGCAAGAACAATTGCGTCAGGAGAATCTGGCAGTCAAGAAACAGGTTGTCCATCTTGTTCGTACTAGGAATAAATTAACGTAGGCTCTGGTCGAACTATGTACTTTCCTTGAGCCGAACTCAACGAATTGATGTTAGCTCATGTGAATTGCCAATTAATTACCCAATTAATTAACGCACTTCCAGTATTCGTTGTGTCCTTTGGGGCACAGAACTAGGATATCGGCGCTGCTTTGCAGGCGTTACTAACCGAGGGTAAATTAAGTCTGCGACGCAAGCTACATTCCTCATGAGTCGAACGTTTTCTAAGTTTAGCTAGCCGTTTACTAGTTAGGCAAATTTCGTAACTTGCGTGAACCACGAGCTGTCCGTTTTGTGGCCCAGACCTTACACACTGCTCTACCGGCAGATTAATGATTATTCGTTTGTTTGTTTGTTCATTCATTGTAGTTCGAAATGTTAGGTAGAAAACAGAGTGAAGAGATAAAGAAGGTTCTTAAGCAGATGGATTACGCGCTTGGGCTGCAAAGGGAGCAAATGAACAATATGATGAAAGCGAACATGAAGAATGAAAAACAGGATAGAGAGTTACTTGTGCAGCAATACCAGGATCAACAAAATTACTTCTTGGCAGTTCAGAAAGCAAATGAAGACAACATGAAAATGATTGAAAAGCTGTCCGAACAGATGGAACTGAAAGCACAGAACGCCTCGGAACGTCAAGAAGAAATCCGAGCAGAAATGGAGGAGAGTTACAAGAGAAAAAAGGCTCTGTTGGAAGCAAAGGTCCAGGATTTGACAAATAAACTCAAGGCTTTCTTAGAAGAAAGAGAGCAAGACCTTGGAAAAATGCTCGCCAAGCTCATTGAGCAGACACAAGCACTCAAAGACCAAAAAGATATAGTAGAGAAGATGGAGGCAAAGTATCTGCAACAACAAGAGGACTTGCGCCATGAGATGAATGAAAAGAGGGAAACGGAACTTGCGAAATGGATAAGTAAATTCCAGGCTACGACAGAAACACGAATGCAACAGATGACAGCTATGCAAACGAAGATCGATGCCGTTGAAGGAGAGCTAGCGGATCTTAAGAAACCAGGCTTTTTTGAGCGGAAATGGTCAAAGGTCGAGGCCTTCGGAAGTACTGTGAAGGATATATGCTTGACAATGTGACAAGTACCTACAAGGTCCCTCTAAGAAACTTTTTTCTAGCATCAACAGTTTCCCCGAATTGATGCTATCGTTGTTACTTTTATTGCTTTGTTCAAATATTGCGCTCTTCTCAGTCATTTATAAAGACCCTGAGTATTGGTCCGGCCGGGGTTCGAACCCGCGACCTCCCGCTCTGCAGAGTGATATCAAAGAACGGGTGAGAAATTTGAAAAAATTCTTAGGTAGATCTGACAAACTGTAGGTAAGGCAACCGCGTAATAACTTTAAGTCATAAAAACTAGTTAAAGCTATCGCTAAGTGCCAATGAGCAAAGATTTTGCCTATAAGTGCGCGCTTTTTAAATTTGCTCAGAAATGTTAGTTTACGATAATACTTAGGCCCTCAGTGTACAAGGAGGGAGGGTAACCCTAGTGCTAGGGTTACCCCAGCAAGAGGGTTACCCTAGCACACGCACATTTCTTCTTTTTTTACAAGACGTGTATACAAGGCAGGTAGGGTTACCCTAGCGCTAGGGTTACCCAAGCAAGAGGGTTACCCTACGTGCCTTGCAAACGCTCTACTAGGGATAACTCGCCTACCCGCGACAACTTTCCTACGTCATGCGTGACCAGTAATTTTGACAATTTGAACGGATTTGTCCAATTTCTGAGCTGAATTATAAACATCTGAACGATATAAGGTATTTTCTGTATACGATGATAATATTTTCCCGTTTTGTCGTGAATTTAACGTGTTTTCCATAGAGAACGTCAAGTTTTTTGTCAAGTGTCAAGTTTTTTGTCAAGTGTTTTTTGTCAAACGATGTCACGCATGACGAAACACGTCAGTAAAGCTGGTAAAGTTGACCGGGCTGATAGGGTAACCCTACCAGTGAAATTTGGCGACGAACTTTATTTTCAAGATCTGCCAATATATGATAAACTAATATCTCTTCAGCAAAGGTGGGGAAAAAAACACCACCCACTAAGACAAGAAAGAGAAACAAACTAAAATTCGCAGGCAGTGCAGGCGGAAGGGGAGGTGGTGGAAAATGTTGAAAATTGGTTCAAACAAGCAATGTGAACAACGTGATGGTGAGCGATCGAAAGGGGCGATCACATGGAAAAGCGCGCTTAAGAACGATATCGTCCGGAACGCCCTAAATTCTGATTGGCTGGAAATAAGATAGGCTTGGAACCTGCCGCCTTACCTGCAAACCATTATCAAATGCCTTGCCATAAAATTCCATTATGATGTCGTCATAACGGTGTCTTTTTTCTCATCTTTTTTGTTGTTGTTGTTGTTTTATCAGCGCTTCCCGCTCATTATTTAGGAATTAATTTTGTTTATCAAGAAATGGATTATTGAATTGTTTCATTATCAGGTAAAAATATTGAGTTTTTTTTAAAACGAAAGTCTTATTTGAAGTAAGGAATGATCATGATTACTGGCACATCGTAGGACAAAAGCCGGTCAAAGTTCACACACAAAGGTACTGTCGATTTCCCACGCTCTCTCGGGTCCCCCCAGAGAAGAGACTTTTTTGGTGAGGAGCGTGGGCACATTTCCCGAACAGCGGCTGATAATCGAGCGTACTGTTAGCTTCAGTTCACTTTTCACTATAATAAATGTGCAAGGTATTTTTTTCTCCTTTTCCAAAAATATTTCTTGTTCAGAGACAGCTCGTTTTCTTTTAAGAATTATTCTTTTTAAATTCTTTGGAGTTTTAGAACCGTAGAAGTTTATGGCGGATAGAAGTTGTTGTAAAGAATCAGGTTGAGCAAAAACGCAAATCTCTCACGTAAGGCGACTGTTGATTTGACTTGTTTTCGCTAATAAATATGCAAGGTAATTTTTCTCCCTTTTTAGAAATATTTTTTGCTCACAAACAACATGCTTGCTTTTAAGAATTATTCTTTACAGTTTTAGAACCGCAGAACTTCTCCTTGACGAATGACATACTGACAATGAAATTTTTTTGGAGCGAACACAAATCAGGTAGGCTGCATTATAAAGGACGGTACTCCTTTGAAGTTGGTATCCTCTGGGAATCTGACATCCGCTGACAGGTTGGCATTCTGTCGGCCAATCAGAAATGTCGTTTGCTGCGTCCGCCTTTCGGACGTAGTTTAAAAAATCTCAAAGGAGAGTTGATTGCAGGCGGTTTTTCTAACTGCCTGTTCCCCTCGACCCCTCCCCCATCGTTTTCCGTTTCGACCTCGGTTAAGCTTTCGCGGCCTGTAACTCTTTGCAAATTAGACCAAAAAACCGCCAGCTTAGCAGGCTATCCTTTACACATTACTGTTCTTTTCAAAACACGCAAATTCGGAAGTTCAAAAGCCAACTGACGTCTGCGTTTACGGAGAAGCTGTTTTCTGTAAAGCATACTCCGCAAAACTTTTGTACCCATTTACAGAACTTACATGTGTGCCGCCTGAATGACGTTTTATCAGATCCTCGTTCAATCTGTTGCAAGAAGATTTGATTTTGTCTTTTTTTGCCTTCATTTTTACGGTTCCATGAACCAACAATCATAGGCTTGGCTGTCAACAAAAGACTTCGCTATCAAGCGAGTCCCTCCTGTTCAATACATAGAGGCATGCTACTGTACTAGCCATTTGGACGCAAACACAGGAGCCATAATCATTAATTTTCAGTGTTAAATCCCTATTTTTTCTCTTAATACTTTAGGCTGTTTTATCTCAATGCTGGACATATCATTACTGCATTTGTAGTACTTAAAATCCTTGTTAAATGTTATCTTCAACAAAGATCAACAACTGCAATTTCCCTGACAGTATTGTTTAATGGTTAATTTTTTCGATGTACAGGAAAAAAAATTGGTAAAGCTATAACAACAGCAGCCGTTTTGTTCGTGGGAACCAGGGGCCCGTTTCTCGAAAGTCCCGGTGACTTTTCGGGCCCGAAATCAAATATTCAAATCGAAATATAAAGAATAAGAGCGCGGGTCCTGGCTAGCAGACTACTCCATTATATTTCACTAACTGATAGTTTTATCATGCTAGATGCAAAACTGTTGAAACTTCGATCTTTAATGTAAACGGAGACAGCTTACCGGGCCCGTTAATTATCGGGACTTTCGAGAAACGGGCTCCAGGGCCATAAAAATGGTCTGTAACTTATGGTAATGAGGGCATATGCGTTTATCATTCTAGAGATAGAGAATAATGCGAGAAATCACTTCAAAAGGCTCAACAAATTAAATGTAAACACTAGCTGAATTCAGTGGTAACTTTTGATGTAGAGCCACACAGCTATATTTTTGCAAAAAAAGCTGTCCTTTTACAAATATATTAGCGTGTGCTGCATTCTTACGGTATCTTTTTTTACGTAACTTATATGTACCTGATTAA